CGCCCCCCCGCCGCGGGCGGCGGCGGCGGCGGCTTCTTCTCCGAATCGGCGGCGCACTCCATCATATGCTCAACCCCGATCTTGTCCATGACGAGAAACGGAACACTCCGGAACGCGCTTCCCGCCTTGAGCTCCGCCGGAACCCTAACTCCCCAGCGGAACTTGACGGCGGCGCGTCCTCGCACGGGGAGCGTGGTCCGCGCGGCGACCTCGACGCCGGAGAACATCCCGGCGCCGGAGTCGAGGAACGGAAGGCTGGAGGCGGCGGAGGAAGGGTCGATGACAGGGGAATCGTGGCGAGCGTCCTGAACGACGTCGTTTTGAGGATTTAGCGAGGCAAAGGGTTTTCCATCAAAGACAGAGGACTGAGTCTTCTTGAAAGTGAAGTCGCCAAAGCGGGGCTTGAAGTGGAGCATGAAGAGCGGGGAAGCGGTTCGCGTGGGGAGGGAGAATTCGCAGGTCATGAGCATGGAGCTTCTGAGGGGGGAACCGAAGGGTCCGGTTCCCGTTTTTACGGTTAGAGAAAAAGGGTTTTTGGAGTCGTTGGGGCGGTAGGAGAGTTTGAGGGAGGGCCCAGAGTCGAAGAACGAAGCGAGGCTGAGAGAGAGCTCTTTAGCTTCCCCCGCAACGACGCCGGATTGGAAGGGCATGCCGAAGACGCTTAGGGGCACCTTGGCCCTGAAGAGGGGCTTCTCGTGCTCCTCGCGGAACTTCAGAGAGGCTTTCATGATTGTAAGAACCCTACCCTTGTCTGATTTCGGATACTTGGCGGAGATTCTTCTGCAAAGGCTTTGTGTTTGTGCTCGTGCTCGTGCTTGTGCTTGTGCTTGTGAGTTGAAAATTGTAATTTTATTACAGTGCTGCAAGGAAGAAGAGATCGTATTTATAGGGCGTGTTTCTCGTTCTGGAATTGGGCCTATGCTGGTGGGCTAGTACAAAGCTTCTCGCCTTCAACAAAACAAGACGGTTATTATATAATTTATTCGTATTATAAAAGAATATATTTTGATTATTACCCTTCTCGTCTTTATTTTTTAAGTAGATTATTATATTCTTTAAATATAAAAAAATTTTATTATATATTTTTATTTATGAATAATTATTAGAAATAAGAAATATCTCGATTTCTTTAATAATTACATTCAGATAATATTAAAAATTATAGATAATTATTCAGAAAATATATAAGAATTTTTTTACATTTAAAGAATATAATCGTTCATTAAAAAAAATTAAAAAGGTGATTAATAAAATATATCTATTTTATAATTTATACTAATATATAAAGAGAATACTTGAATATATAACTATTTTTTGTCTCTATTTTTTAGTGGATTATTATATCCTCAAACATTTTAAAAAATTATATATTTATTTTATATAATTACACATAATTTTTTAATATTTTATCTATATATAATTATTAGGAGTATAAAGTACCTCAACTCCTCTAGCATGTATAGATTATATATTCTAATTCAAATTTAAGTTCAATCAAATTATTATTATTATTATTATTATTATTAGTATTAGTATTATAAATTTGAACATTGTAAAATTAGCACCCCTGCTGCAGGACACACGTGAGTCTGTGACTAGAAACATTGTTCTTATACCAATAATGAGTAACTTAAATTTGTTTTTCCAACTTTAATGAAGGCAATTTCCGATATGTGGTTGTTTTGGTATGAGAATCAACAAATCATAGGACAAACACTTGTCTATGTTGGACTGTATCTTTCACTGCCTGTGCAGTAAATTGTATATTGTTATTTCAAGGGTTAAAAAAAAAAAAGGTTGAGTATATGATAATGACATTTTTTCTCTAAATACAACAATTGTTTATAAAGATGTATTTCAAAATTTTGATTTAGTAATTTTATTATTTATTTATTTTGCATATGTTATAATAACTTGTATTTAACTTTTTTATTTTTGTTTATGTTACTGCATATCTTTATTCACTGTATTTTTTTATTTGTTAACTTTTGAAAATAATTTTGATGATTATTTTAATGTTAAAATATATTTTTAGTCCTTTAAATTTAAGATAAATTTATTTTTGATCTTTTAAATTTAAAATTATTATTTTTAATTTTTATAATTTTTAAAAATTATTTTAATCAATCAGATCATCAATAACATATCTAAATAATAAATTGAGATATTTATGCAATATTAATTTGTTGGATTTAGTGTGATGTTTTTACTAATAATAACATCAATTAGATTTTATATGACAATATTTGACAGATTCTCAAACAAAATTTGAGTATAATAATTAAAACAATTGTTTTAAAAAATTATAAAGACTAAAATACCAATTTTAAATTTAAAAAACTAAAAAAAAAATATTTTAAAGTTAAAAAATTAAAAATATATTTAAACCTTATTTTAATCATCAATAACTCACAAATATTTTGAAATTAAAATTTTCGTCGTGAGTTTATTATACAATATATGATATCAAAATGTTAAATTAAAAAAAAATTGTGTATACAATCCTTAGGTAAGTTGTTTAACAAATTCAATTTAGATGAGACATGCATTCATTTTACAATTCATCTAGTAATTATACAAATAATTTTTATTTTAATAACCTTACGATTATCATTTTTATTCTAAAATTTTTAATTGAATTCAATTAGTCATTTAAAATTTATTTAAATTAAAAATTCATAGGAAAATTTGTCATACTTATATAAAAATTAAAAAATAATTACAAGAATAATATTTTAAATATTAAACTCACACAAATAAAAAAAATAACATTTATTTTTAAATACATAAGTATAAAAATAATACAACATAAAATATTGCATGTTATAAATTAACACACTCGTACGGGACATGAGTTATTTTACTAGTTTTTTTTTTTGAAAAAAAATAAGTTATGGAAAATCAATTGAAAAATCTATACAATATATAAAAGAGATTTTTTTTTTTCACTTTTCTTCACACCATTATACTCTTAATTATCCTTTCTTTTTTCCTTCTTTTTTAAAGTTTTTGCCTCCAACTAATATACTAACTGTGTACTACTATGTTCAATCCTCAATTTGTCATGGTTCAAATAAAAAAAAATATATAATATACGACGTTATCTACTTGTAAACCATAATATTTAATTTTTCTTTTATAATCATTTTTTCTTCTAAAATTGTTATAAAAAATATTTACTAAAGCACGAAGTGTTTTTTTTTTTGTTTTTTTCTCATATGAGTTTGAATAAAAGGAAGATAAGTTGATTGGTTGAGAGAATTTTTTTCATCAATTACAATGATAATATATGAAATGCATTAATGCACCCATAAAAGAAAAAGTAAAAAATATTAAGAATATCTAATAAAATAAATAAATAAATAATGATAATTTCACTTTTTCAAGTTGATTATTTTAATTTATAACATTGAAATAATTTTTATTAGTAGTATCAGTCAAAGTAAGCGTGCTAAAAGTGGTAACACCATATTCAATTTCTTTTTCCTAAACTTTCAATGATTTCTATTTTATTTTTTAATTTATAAAATATATTAATATCTTTAATATAGTAATTATACAATATTATATTCTAATTTTAATTTTAATTCAAACAATCAATCAATTAAATTATATATTCTAATACATAACATATTTATTTATAATAATTATACAGTATTATACAACAATTATATATTCTAATTCAATTATATATTTATCTATACGAATAATATATTTATATAATTGTTTTACAATTCTTTCATGAGTTTATAAATGTGTGTGTATAAAGCGGACTGGTTGAAGAAAAACATGAAAGTAAAGGAACCTGTGAGCATTTTAGATCATAAATATTTATGTTTATATAATTAAAATTCAATAATAAATAAAATATATTATATTATAATTAAAAAATATATTAAATAAATATATTTTATTATATACATTTTAGTTTAGATTTTACATAAATTGTGATATCAGATTATTTTTAACTATTGCTAAATTTTTAAAAAGAATAATTGAAATTTAATTAAGAAATCTATACAATATATAAAGGAATATTTTTTTTCCATTTTTCTTTACTATTATACTCTTAATTTTCCTTTCATATTTTTTTTTGTCCTCAATTAATAGAGTAACGGTCCACTATCCCACTCCATCCTCAATTTGTCATGGTTGAATAAAAAAAATATTAATATGTAATGTTGTGTAATTTCAGACCTTAATTTGTCATAGTGTGTTTGGATGAGAAATTTTACAAATTCAAAGAATTTTAAATTCTTGGTATTTGAATTACTTTGATTTCAATTTTTATCATTCTTAAAATATTTTGTTTGGATAAGTCAATTCAAATTTCTCAAATTTTAAATTGTTAGGTTGGATATGATAATTTGATTCTACCATGATAAAATTGATTTTAAAAATATATTTATATGTTGATATTTTTAAATTAAATTTTATAAAAATAAATATTAGCTAATTTTTAAATATTTAATAATTTTAAAAATTAATATTAGATAATATTTAATAATTTTAAAAATTAATATAAGATAATATTTAATAATTTTAAAAATATTTTTGAATATCCAATAATTAAAAGAATGAAGAGATAAGATAAAATATATAGGTGAAATAAGAAAAGCAAATATGAGGAATTTCAAATTCTCCCATTTTTGGGAGAATTTGAAATTCTACTATTTTAAGGAATTTCACAAATGCTTGGATTTCAAATTCTTTGTAAATTCTTCATCCAAACAAAGCATTCACCTCAAGGAATTTGAAATTCTTCAAATAAATGAATTATTCAAAGAATTGATATGGTTGAGAGAATTTTTTCACCAATTACAATGATAATGTGTGAAATACATTAATTCACCTCTAAGAAAAAGAGAAAGAATATTAGAATATCTAATTGGGAGAATAAAAAGAATGATAATTTTACTTTTTAAGTTTATTATTTTAATTTATAATATAGGAATAATTTTTGTTAGTAATGTCGAGTTAAACTAAATGTGTTAAAAGTAGGGATGGCAATGGGGCCCCATGGAGGTGAGTAATAGTAAATCCGCCCCCGTCTTGCTAGATGAAAATTGTCCCCATATCCACCCCATATCTGCGCGGGTATCCATTGAGCGGGTATCCATTGAGCGGGTATCTATGAATTTCTTGAATACCCACGGATATCCATGGATATTTATAAATTTTTTAAGAAATTAAAAAAATTATATTACAAATAATTTTAAGTCTATATTTGATGTCATTGAAATATTAAAAATAAAAATTTAATGTTAATTTTGAACTTGTATTTAACGTTAATTTTGTTGAAATAATAATAAAAATGTAAGATAATCAATGACTTAAAATATACCAATCTCACAAGTAAGTTAAAGTCTCATCACAAAGCTACAATAATTCAATCTCATAATTCCAAACAAAAGTAAACAACTTAAAATACATAAATTTTATTGGTCCAATCAAAGCTAGAAAATTAATCAAATTATATCCAACATAATTAGATAACATGCTTAACACATGTTGGTAACTTCATCAACCTCACTTTTGTAATAAAATAAGACGAGAGAGTGTACTTTTAGGGTTATGTGGTACAAGAATAATTAGGATATTTAAGAAATATTATTAAACGGGTACCCGCGGGTATGGATATCATCATATACCCGCCCCCGCCCCATTTATAAACGGGTAAAAAAATATTTGTCTTCATTATCCGCGGGTACCCAATTAGTCTATCTATGACACCCTCTACCCCAACATATATATATATATTTATATAATAATTAAAAGAAATATCTTATTGGATAAAAAAAAAATATTTAAAATTGAAGCGACAATTCCAATAATCATGTGAGTAGAGAATTCACATTCATGTACTTAATCCAAATAGCAAATAAAATTACAAAGAATAAAAATTGAATTTTCC